TTAAAAACCTATTATAGATATACTTCTAGATGTGTTTTCATGTGCGGAGATTAAAATGGCCCGATCACTAAATGTTGAGACCTGTTTGAATAGAAAGATGGAAAGTTGTATTTCACATTATCCTCTGGATAATCATTATCATATTTGATCGACACAAAACCACAGTCATACCAGTAAACCATTTCAATATATCAACAATTCTTGTTCCCATAATTCTTACAGTCCATTTAAAAGATGAATAGTCTATTATGAGCATGTGACTGGGAGGATTTCCTAGTCATTTGAAGAAGAAATAATCAGCATCCCAACTTACAGAGAGTATGGAATAGCTATGTGGTATTCCAATGAGCACTGTGGTTAAGTGTTCTGCTGCTAACCAAAAGGTTGGCAGTTTGAATCTACCAAATGCTCCCCAGGAGAAAGATGAGACAGTCTGTGTCTGTAAAGACGTCTGCGTCTGTAAAGATGTCCATCCCTGTGAGCAGTTCTACTCTGTCCTAGAGGTTTAGTTTGGGTTAGATGATAATCGGAGTTTTAGCCAAAGTCAAGATCCAGGAAAATCTACACCTCTAGGATATCTTATCTAAAATGTTTCTACCTTCAACTCTAGCCATCCCCTCTGATCCTCTTCTATTCCACTAGCAAGATATGAACAGACAAGCTGCTTCATCTTTGGTTTTCAAAGTCCAACAAACTTCTTTATTCAAGGGTGCTTCAAAGAATTATGACTGAGACCCTTAAAGATTAGACATTTATGTGCATTAAAAGATTTCACCAGAAGCGAATCCACAGACTGCAGGTGGGGGCGGAATTTGGTAATGACACACCAGACAAAGGACTAATCTCTTAAACGAATATATAGAAAGCTCTAACACATCGACAAGAAAAAGACAAATAATGGACAGAGATCAAAGAAGAAAGACATCCAGGCAATCAACAAACAGATGAAGAAATGTCAAAGAGCATTAACCATTTGAGAGCTGAAAATCAAAGCAACAATGAGATATCATCTCATCCCAGCATTAATAGTGAAGTTGAGATACCCACGCACACACAAAGGAAACAACAAATGCTGGCAAGGCTGTGCAAAGACTGGAACCTTCATCCCCCGCTACTCAGACTACAAAATGATCCGACTGCTGCAGGAAATAGGATGTCACTTCAAGAAGTTGTATGTAGAAATAGCCTGCCTGCAGCCCTGTGATTCAACATCTGCAGCAGAATTTCATCACGGAACTGCTGGAAATTCAAGTGGATTCAGAAGAGGGCGCAGAACAACAGATATCACTGCTGATGTCATGTGGATCTGGGCTCAAAGCAGAGAATACCAGAAAGACTATGCAAAAGCATTCAACTGTGTGGATCACAACAACGGGGTAGCATTTAGAAAAATGAAAATTCCAGAACATTTCATTGTGCTCATGCGGAGCCTGGACTTGGACCAAGAGGCAGTTACTCAAACAGAACAAGAGAATATTGTATGCTTCAAAGTCAGGAAAAGTGTGCCTCGGGGTTGCATCCTTTCACCATATTTTTCAATTTGTTTGCTGAGCAAATAATCCGAGAAGCCATACTATATGAAAATGAATTTGACATCAAGGTCGAAGAGAGGCTCACCAACAATGTGTGTTATGTGGAAATGCCATATGACCCAGTAATCCCTCTACTGAGTATATATCCTAAAGAAATAAATTCAGTAGCAAGTACAGATATATGCACACTCATATTCATTACAGCACTATTTACAATAACAAGAAGATGGAAGTTATCTACAGGCTACCAATGGAAGAATGAATAAACTTTTACATACACATAATAGAATACTACTCAAAGTTATAGAGTAACAGACATAAAAATTGTAATAACAGGGGAAGGGGGAATTGATAGAAATGATGACT